ATAGGGAGTGCACTGAATCTGTAGATTGCTTTGGGTAGTATACTCATTTCCACAATGTTGATTCTTCCAATCCAAGAACATGGTATATCTCTCCACGTTTGTATCATTTTAATTTCTTTCATCAGTGTCTTATAATTTTCTGCATACAGGTCTTTTGTCTCCTTAGGTAAGTTTATTCCTAGGTATTTTATTCTTTTTGTTGCAATGGTAAATGGGAGCGTTTCCTTAATTCCTCTTTCCGATTTTTCACCATTAGTGTATAGGAATGCAAGAGATTTCTGTGCATTAATTTTGTATCCTGCAAACTTACCAAATTCATTGATGAGTTCTAGTAGTTTTCTGGTGGCATCTTCAGGATTCTCTATGTATAGTATCATGTCATCTGCAAACAGTGACAGTTTTACTTCTTCTTTTCCAGTTTGGATTCCTTTTATTTCTTCTTCTTCTCTGATTGCTGTGGCTAAAACTTCCAAAACTATGTCGAATAATAGTGGTGAAAGTGGGCAACCTTGTCTTGTCCCTCATCTTACGGGAAATGGTTTCAGTTTTTCACCATTGAGAACGATGCTGGCTGTGGGTTTGTCACATATGGCCTTTATTATGTTGAGGTATGTTCCCGCTATGCCTACTTTCTGGAGAGTTTTCATCATAAATGGGTGTTGAATTTTGTCGAAAGCTTTCTCTGCATCTATTGAGTTGATCATATGGTTTTTCTCCTTCAATTTGTTAATATGGTGCATCACATTGATTCATTTGTGTATATTGAAGAATCCTTGCATTCCTGGGATAAACCCCACTTGATCATGGTGTATGATCCTTTTAATGTGCTGTTGGATTCTGTTTGCTAGTATATTGTTGAGGATTTTTGCATCTCTGTTCGTCAGTGATATTGGCCCGCAGTTTTCTTTTTTTGTAACATCTTTGTCTTGTTTTGGTATCAGGGTGATGGTGGTCATGGTGGTAGAATGTGTTTGGGTGTGTTCCTCCCTCTGCTATATTTTGGAAGAGTTTGAGAAGGATAGGTGTTAGCTCTTCTCTAAATGTTTGACAGAATTCGCCTGTGAAGTCATCTGGTCCTGGGCTTTTGTTTGTTGGAAGATTTTTAATCACAGTTTCAATTTCAGTGCTTGTGATTGGTCTGTTCATATTTTCTATTTCTTCCTGATACTGTCTTGGCATGTTGTGCATTTCTAAGAATTTTTCCATTTCTTCCAGGTTGTCCATTTTATTGGCATACAGTTGCTTGTAGTAATCTCTCATGATCTTTTGTATTTCTGCAGCGTCAGTTGTTACTTCTCCTTTTTCATTTCTAATTCTATTGATATGATTCTTCCCCCTTTTTTTCTTGATGAGTCTGGCTAATGGTTTATCAATTTTGTTTATCTTCTCAAAGAACCAGCTTTTAGATTTATTGATCTTTGCTACTGTTTCCTTCATTTCTTTTTCATTTATTTCTGATTTCATCTTTATGATTTCTTTCCTTCTGCTAACTTTGGGGTTTTTTTGTTCTTCTCTCTTAATTGCTTTAGGTGTGAGGTTAGGTTGTTTATTTGAGATGTTTCCTGTTTCTTAAGGTAGGGTTGTATTGCTATAAACTTCCCTCTTAGAACTGCTTTTGCTGCATCCCATAGGTTTTCGGTCGTTGTGTTTTCATTGTCATTTGTTTCCAGGTATTTTTTGATTTCCTCTCTGATTTCTTCAGTGATCTCTTAGTTATTTAGAAGCATATTGTTTAGCCTCCATGTGTTTGTAATTTTTACAGTTTTCTTCCTGTAATTGATATCTAGTCTCATAGTGTTGTGGTCAGAAAAGATAATTGATATGATTTCAATTTTCTTAAAATTACCAAGGCGTGATTTGTGACCCAAGATATGATCTATCCTGGAGAATGTTCCATGAGCACTTGTGAAGAAAGTGTATTTTGTTGTTTTTGGATGGAATGTCCTATAAATATCCATTAAGTCCATCTTGTTTAATGTATCACTTAAACCTTTTGTTTCCTTATTTATTTTCATTTTGGTTGATCTCTCCACTGGTGAAAGTGGGGTGTTAAAGTCCACTACTATTACTGTGTTACTGTCGATTTTCCCTTTTATGTCTGTTAGCATTTGCCTTATGTATTGAGGTGCTCCTATGCTGGGTGCATAAATATTTACAATTGTTATATCATCTTCTTGGATTGATCCCTTGATCATCATGTAGTGTCCTTCTTTGTCTCTTGTAAGAGTCTTTATTTTAAAGTCTATTGGGTCTGATATGAGAATTGCTACTCCAGCTTTCTTTTGATTTCCATTTGCATGGAATATCTTTTTCCATCCCCTCACTTTCAGTCTGTATGTGTTGCTAGGTCTGAAATGGGTCTCTTGTAGACATGATATATACGGGTGTTGTTTCTGTATCCATTCATGCAGTCTGTGTCTTTTGGTTGGAGCATTTAATCCATTTACATTTAAGGTAATTATTGATATGTATGTTCTTATTACCATTTTCTTAATTGTTTGGGGTTTCTCATTGTAGGTCTTTTCCTTCTCATGTTTCCTGCCTAGAGAAGCTCCTTTAGCGTTTGTTGTAAAGGTGGTTTGGGGTGATGAATTCTCTTAGCTTTTGTTTGTCTGTAAAGGTTTTAATTTCTCCATCAAATCTGAATGAGATCCTTGCTGGGTAGAGTAATCTTGGTTGTAGGTTTTTCCCTTTCATCACTTTAAATATGTCCTGCCACTCCCTTCTGGCTTGCAGTTTCTGCTGAAAAATCAGCTGTTAACCTTATGGGGATTCCCTTGTATGTTATTTGCTGCTTTTCCTTTGCTGCTTTTAATATTTTTTCTTTGTATTTAATTTTTCATAGTTTGAGTAATAGGTGTCTTGGCATGTTTCTCCTTGGATTTATCCTGTATGGGACTCTGTGCTTCCTGGACTATTTCCTTTCCCGTATTAGGGAAGTTTTCAACTATAGTCTCTTCAAATATTTTCTCACACCCTTTCTTTTTCTCTTCTTCTTCTGGGACCCCTATAATTCGAACGCTGGTGCATTTAATGTTGTCCCAGCAGTCTCTGAGACTTTCCTCAATTCTTTTCATTCTTTTTTCTTTATTCTGCTCTGTGGTAGTTATTTCAACTATTGTATCTTCCAGGTCACTTATCTGTTCTTTTGCCTCAGTTATTCTGCTACTGATTCCTTCTAGAGAATTTTTAATTTCATTTATTGTGTTGTTCATCATTGTTTGTTTGTTCTCTCATTCTTTTAGGTCCTTGTTAAACGTTTCTTGTATTTTCTCCATTCTATTTCCAAGATTTTGGACCATCTTTACTATCATTACTCTGAATTCTTTTTCAGGTAGACTGCCTATTTCCTCTGCATTTGTTTGGTCTGGTGGGTTTTTACCTTGCTCCTTCATCTGCTGCTTATTTCTCTGTCTTCTCATTTTGCTTAACTTACTGTGTTTGGGGTCTCCTTCTTGCAGGCTGCAGGTTCGTAGTTCCTGCTGTTTTTGGTGTCTGCCCCCAGTGGCTAAGGTTGGTTCAGTGGGTTGTCTAGGCTTCCTCGTGGAGGGGACTGGTGCCTGTGTTCTGGTGGATGAGGCTGGATCTTGTCTTTCTGGTGCGCGTGACCACATCCGGCGGTGTGTTTTGGGGTGTCTTTGAACTTATGATTTTAGGCAGCCACTCTGCTAATGGGTGGGGTTGTGTTCCTGTCTTGCTAGTTGTTTGGCATGGGGTGTCCAGCACTGGAGCTTGCTGGTTGTTGAGTGGAGCTGGGTCTTAATGTTGAGACAGAGATCTCTGGAATACTCTTGCCGAACGATGTTACGTGGGGCCGGGAGGTCTCTGGTGGACCAATGTCCTGAACTCAGCTGTCCCACCTCAGAGGCTCAGGCCTGACACCCAGTCGGAGCATCAAGACCCTGTCAGCCACACGGCCAGGTACGTGGGGGAGTTTCTTGCCTTTTGGGAAGTCTGAGGTCTTCTGCCAGCGTTCAGTAGGTGTTCTGTTGGAGTTGTTCCACATGTAGATGTACTTTTGATGTATCTGTGGGGAGGACGGTGATCTCCACGTCTTACTCCTCCACTACCTTGAAGGTGTCTCCTCAGGAACACTTCTTTTTACCCAAAAATTATTATGCAGCTTCATCATTTATTTTCTACTCTTAAATGTGAATTAATTTCCAATTTTTTCTAAAACCTTAACTCTATCATCAGAAACAGAGGTGCTCCTGAAAACAGTACATAGAATGTATATTCAAAACTTTGAAAAACAAAAAACAAGAACACCACAGGTTGAGAAGGGAAGCCGAGAAGCCTCAAAATTGTTTTCAGGTAAAAGAAGGAATTAGCCCCTGCAAATATTTTAATTGAGAAAACATTCGTGTCAGTGTGTGAATTCTTACACATCTGCTTAAAAATTCACAGTCACATGTACTGCATATGCCATAAAGATGTATTTAATTCAGCAGAAAAGTGAAAATGCCTCCAGTTTTATAAGCCTATGAACAGCCACTGACATAAACTCTGCCAACTATAAAACCCGGTCAGCGTCGTGACTGGACAACTGGGCATGATGCTACTGCAGCAGTCTTCACTGTTCAAGACAAGGAAAGGAAACACGCACAGGATCCGTCTAAGTCAAGCTGGGAACACCAGCGTTCCATAAAAATAGCAAGTACTCAGAAAATACTTGGAAAACCGAATGAAAATAAGAGAAGAACGAAAAGGACAAAGAAGAAAGAAAAAATAAAGGAAGGAGCTGGGAGGCATTTCCAGAAATCAGAGGCACAAGAGGAAACAGAGAAACAAAGGGACAAATGAGGACAGTGTGAAAGGCCTTAGAATTACCACTAAAGTAGGGTCTAACAGTCCATCTGGCTCACCCCGTTCCTCCCATTGCATAAGGTATTTCTTCAATGAAATTTTTAGGAAAGACCTCTTTTACACCAAGTATCCTGTTCGAGGTTATCCTGGAAACACGCAGGAGGCACGCAGGCACTGAGCCAATGCAAGTTCACCTTTGCCGTGATCTGGAAGTCCTCGTGCTCCTTCAGCAGCTCCTGGGTGTGCTGGATACTCGAACCTGTGGAGGTGTGTGTGGAAAGGTAGAACTCCCCGCTGTCATGGATCCACTCCAAAGCCTAGAGACGGAAGGAATGGAAACAGGTTCACGGCTCAACGTCAGTGAAGCAAGTCCCAATACCTCAGTATCTCATTTAAACGCAAAGTCACACTCCCAGGCGCATCAAGAAACACTCCCTCAAAGAGAGATGAGCTTCTGAAACATGTATCTTCATTCCAAAATTAAAAGTTGACATTCTAGAAAACTGTAATCATGTCACTTAGGCATCAATGATAACAAGCTCAGGAGTTTCTTATAAGCATGAACCTAAAGGGCCATAAGAGTCCAGTGAATAGCCTCCCTCAAGAATACTGAGAAAGTGTGGGGAACGGGAAGTCTGAGACCCTCGCATTGCTGAACACTGAGACATTCGCGTCACAGGGACTCGACAGCCTTCCTGGGGTGATCTAACTTAAAACAGGAAAAGAAAGCAGATGCAAATTCCCAGCTTTCAAATGTACAGTGTTAGCCGTTTCTTCCTATTCCTGCCTTCAGTGAGTCCTGAGGTGTGCACCCACTTCACTGGCCTTCTGGGGGCTCCTACAGAGCGTCATTATGCATAAAGATGCTCTGGGGAGACGCTGGCAGAAGTGGCTTAACCTCCCAGATGTAGGAGAGAGATGACCCCACCTGGGAAGAAGGGGGCCGGCAAGGTCCAGACTGCAACAGAAGGACACATTCTGACTCCTATTCTTTCATGTTTTTAGATGGAAGCCATTTTTTTCCTTCTATGTGCATAGATCTGAAGTGAAATCTTACTTAAACATAAACATCTGAAAAAGCAACACTATGGAAAAGAAACAAAAACATGGAAGCTTTCATATCTGCCCTTCACAATATCTTAGTCGTCCGCTGTGATTTGCTGGTCTTGGAACAGAAACATCACCGTCTCTATTAGATACTTCACAGCATTTATGGCATTTTAGAAGAAAAAAATGAAAAGGAAACCACGACCCAGATTACTTACCGCGCAGCTTCCTGGCTGGGAATTTACCTTCGTTTTGCACAAGCATGGTTGCCCCATCTCTGAGACAACACTGCCACTGACAGTGCGTCAAGGCAGAAAGCCATTTTGGTCAATATATTCAAAGGTCCCTACTTCCTCCGTTCACACAGCGAATCGTGCCCAAGCGCCCTCTATGCAGGCAGGTGCTGAGGGGGGCGCTGGGGTGGGAGAGGCTTGGGCCCTGCCCTTGTGACCATGAGGGACCCGCAGGCTGAGAAGGGATGGGCTCAGGAGGAAAGGGGCCCTGCACAGGGGGAGGCTGGAGGTGAGGCTGGAGGGCGACAGGGGGCCCTCGGAGGCCGCAGGCCTTTGGACTTTGGTCTGGAAGTGAATGGGGCTGCCACATGGAAAAGGGACCGCAGTGGAGAGTGAGCGAGAGAAAAGCAACACCGGTTGGCAAACCGGTCCAGGGGGTTCAGATGAGACATGGCTAGGCTGGTACCCGTGATGGCTCTGGGGGCGGAGGAGAGGGCAGATGTGCTGCATCAGGCCCCGATGAAGGGGTGAAGCTGGGAAGATGAGAGAAAGGCGGGAATCAGGTAAGATGAGGGCGGGGACACGGCGGACGGGGAGTCCCGGGTCCACTTCTGCTTTGGTTAAGGCCAAAGTGGAGAGACGCAAGGAGGGAGCTGGGGTTTCTACATCTGGAGACCAGAAATGGAGGTCAGGGCTGGGAGACACCAACAGTGAGAGCTAAGGAGAGAGGAAAGAGAAACAAGAACAAGCCCTGAACTGAAAGCCAACTTTCAGAGGCAGAGGTAAGGGAGAAGGGGCACAGACAGCCCGGGAGGAGCAGCCCCGAGGCAGGAGGTACCCAGAGCAGAGCAGGGGCTGCAAGTCACCTGCCACAGCCCACCCATAACTCGGTATTTACTGTGGGATTGTTGTTATCGTACAGCACAGAAGCCAACCCTACAGGGCCGTGGGGCTGACGGGCCATCATCTGTAACGGCAGAAACTGAATGATTTTATTTTTGGCATGTGAACTGGCTTTAGGAAAAAGCAACAGCATATTCCATTATTTCTCTCTGTCAAGGGCATTATTTACAATTTTGTTCTCTGTAGCTGAATGACTCCTTGTCTTTCAACAGAGAGATAAACAAAGACGTGAGAAAAGATTATGAAATAGTCTCTAATTAGAAATAAAATCAGGTCCCCATAAATCTGAAATACGGTTAGATTATCCTTAAATAAAATGTTAAGAAAATGGAATTTAAACATTAAAAAATACTACCGCTTGCCACCCCTGCTGGGAACATGGTAACTGCATCTGGGAAAGCCAATCAAGACAAGGGAGAGGTCGGGTCAGGGTGCCAGGTTCAGGGACCATGAACTCCTGCTTACGCCCTGGGACACCGAGCTGCTCTGGGCAGCAGGCTGCCCAGTGAGAGACTGACATTTACCAAATTAAACAAAATATGTTCCCCAAGTGAGAAACCTGTGCTGAGGAAAATGTAATCTTTCTTGAGCTAAACGGATTTTATCGAATGCCTACGCTGCATGAGGCACGTGTCAGGTTTCCAGGTGGATCCAGAAGACAGAGCAGGTCACACGCGGTCACCAGGGACCGGCAGCCCTGAGGAGGCCCCGGGGACGTGGTGCATGTGAGGTGACTCGCGGGGGCTTCTGAGAACAAGCCTTCTCCCTCCCGCTCCCTCCTGACCCTCCGAATTCTGGACTAATGGGCACGGATTCCTAGGCCACTGTTAAGGCCAGGGAGAAGTGACAGGCATCTTCCTGTCTGAGTTACAGTCAGACAGACTTTACCCTAAAATGATCTCCACGACTGGCCATCGACCCCAGAATGACTTCCGGCAGGCGGCGGAGGGGAGGGGAACACTGCAAACGTACCCTCTTGAGGTCTCTGCCTTAGCCAAATGCGTGACCTTTTTTTGAGTATACTGAATTCTGAGAAATTCTGCCACATTTCTTACTTAATTTTAGCTCACTTTATCCGAAAAACAAAATTTTGTCTTGAAGATATAAGTACGCCAACATGGAAAACTGCCCACCGTATTATCTTACAGTGACTTAAATCATCACGATCACAACTGCTCGCACTTCGCTGTCTTAACTGTGGGGTGACGGCAGCTCGGCAGAGCTGACTCGCACACCCGCTGAGGCCAAAATCACTGAGTAACACACTTTTACGAGGCTGGGGGGTTTTCTGGCAACAAACGGTCAAGTAAAAGGCAAGGCTGTTTTGATGATCAGGGAGCGGTTTTCCATCTGCTGCCATGTCAGAAGCTGCCCGTCTGACAATGGAGGCCTGGGCACGGGGAGGAGGGCGCCAGGAGGGCTGTGTGATGGCTGACCTGCTTGGCGCTTCGCTCAAAGACCACGTACTGCTGGCACTGGTCCAGCCGCCGCTTCCTCATGGTCCAGTAATGCAACACCCTGTTCTCCCGCTGGAAGAGTTCATTCAAGATATCTGAGAGAATGAAGAGAAAGCCGCATGTTGGCGCTGGCCATCAAGCACAACACCCACAAAATCCCATTCATTTTTATTTAAAGACATTTTAATGCAAATGCCGTGGTGAGCCGGAGTATAGTCACTGAGCCGCACGGCCTGCCTGCCTGGCCTCCTTGACACGCCTGTCCAGACCTCTCCTCGTTCTCTTACTCCAGTTTACACTTAGGACTGACATCACCCGACATTCGAGTTGGCCTCTAATCCCTCAGGTCGGCTGGGTCAGTGGGATAGCTACTGAGTCCCCTGCTGGGGCAATCTGACAATGGCTGGAAAAACACCAGTATTAGACGTTTTGTGCAAGACCATGAGAACCTTCCTGCGGAAGGAATTTAGTATACATCAAAAGATGTCAGATGAAACAGCGGAGTACTAGAAGAAAACGATGGGGGCTTTAAAAACAAAACCAAAAACAAACCCTTAGGAGAGGGAAGGAAATGAAGTTGAGAAGCATGAAGCTAGAAAGGAAAAGTTAAAACAGCAATCAGATTACAAGAGAATTAAAAATCTCATAACCAAATAACAACCGCCATAAAAATATGACACAAGTAAAAAGCCAGGAAAAACTATTGGGAACATAGAAGGTGGATCTAACTTACTTAATAGTCAACAGGAAAATATGAATAATCTGTTAGCAAAGCGAGCAAAGCATATAAACATGGAGGTCATGATTATATGAAATGAAATATGGCCACTAAAAATACAGAAACGTTTCGTCTCACTCAAACAACGAGACCAGTTTACACCACTCCCTGGCAAGGACTACGCTGCCCAGGGCTAGAAGGGACAGAGGAAACCTGTGTGCCTGTATTATTGGGGGAGGAAAATGGAGCACAACCCCTGCAGAGGTCATCTGGTGACAGGTAACGACACTGAGTGGTGCGCACCCTTGAACCAGGAATTTATCTTTCAGATACGGTGCTAGCACAAGCTCTCGACACAATTTGTACACAGATGCACACACGCTGAGGTGCTGTTCGGAAAAACTGGCAGCAACGTATGAGCCCATTGATTAGGGGTCAGATTAAATCAATTACGAAGTCGCCATACTGGACGTTAAAAGTAACAGAGCAGATCTCCAAATTCTGATATAGAATGAGATTATTCCTAAGCGTAAGAAGAAAATTGCAGGGGAATATAGTCCCACTTCAAAAAAAAAATTAAAAAGACAGATGGGTGAGTTGAAGCTACACGTTTGTATCTCTCTGCATATTTCCATTTATGTGCATAGAAGGATGCACAAAAAGGTCTTCACAGTGGTTACCACTGGCAAAGGAATTTAGGTAATTTATATACATTTGTACACTTTAAACATTCTTTACAGTGAGTCTGTTTTACTCTAGAAGTTTACAAAGTAAACAGATAAAAAAAACTTCAGAAAAAGATTCCCTGGCTGAAATTGCAAATCAAATAAGTGGTACCTGGAATATAACTTTATTGGAAAACTTTAAAAATAATAACCTCTCCACAAATATTTACCAAGTTCCTCACAGGCTGAGTACTTTGTGAGAAACAGGAGCCTGCGAGCAGCATGTACCCGCCAGCTCACTGGTTGGTCCTGTTACATTATCTTTGCTCGACTGAAAAGTGAACTAGTTTAGTGAAGCAAATTGGCACTGAAATTTGAAGCCTGTCAAAAAATAAGCTACCACTTAAATGAAAGGAAAACGAGCGTAAGTCTTTTCTAGTCTCTTATTTCCGTAGCCTCTGCCTGGGGCAGGACTGAAGCTCAGGTGAGGATTAAAGCTGATAGAACAGGGCCTGAATACCGAGACTGTTTTCAACAATTCTCCTCATTTTCTGAGGACCCACTTCCATGTCATTTCAATTAAACTTGTAAAAAAAATTATGATTAAGTTTAAAATGATGTATCACCTGGATGCATTTTCACTGCAAAATATTCAATCAGAATTCTACAGCATAAAAATCGTCAGTACCCTTAACTTCCACCCATGACAACCCTACTTACAGTTTAGTATAATTGTTCCCAGGTCTTTTTCTATGCGCGTGTGTGTGTGTGTGTGTGTGTGTGTGTGTGTGTGTATGTGTGTGTGTGTGTGTACAGTTTTGTACATTTTTAAACTCAAATGATACCCATCTATCTATATAACATTCTTTGGCAATTTGCTTTTATTAATAATGCTTTAAGTATATAAAACTGATACATTATAGCAATGAAATGGGTATATAATTTTTGTGATTTAAACTTTTAAAAGTATTTGGCCTGTAGATAATTCTCGCTTTCATTTTTTCCCGATTTATATTTTCACTTACTTTTAACAAAACAGTCGATGCCAATAAATACCCTGAGCATGCTGCATTTTCTCCCTATTTATATTCTTCAACTTTATTCAATAAATTATCAAGCTATATATTTGTTTAATATTTTATTATTAAAATAAGATAACTTAGGAGAACTTTAATGATATGAAAAGGACATTCCAAAGGAAGCCCTGGACCAAGATTTTAGAACGTGTCTTGTCAAGCTCATCCGTCAGCTGACTCCTAGGTGTACTCACTTTTCACTTGTTGTTCAGGGGCTTTGATATGTGTCACCATTCCAGGCATGTTCACGCTGTTCCTGTGCAGGTATTTCAGGAAGACATCTGCATTCCTCCTAGCAAGCGTGCAAGCCTAAGAAATAATACAGAGCAACGTGTTCATGTGACTCATACAGACATGCATCTTCAGTGTATATGGATGACATCACGTGGCTCTAACATAGGTCTTAATCTAAAGTGTTCATCTGGTCAATCTGTGTCTGGAGAATACATAGGATAAATCCTATTTCAACTTAAAAAAAAATCTGTTTTGGAGCCCTTGCTCTGCTGAACCCAGCTGCTATGTTGAGAGCTGCCCCATGGTAAGGTCCAGGTGGCCAGACACTGAGGGTGACCCGTGGCCTGCAGCCCGAGAGGAAGTAAAGCCCTTCCCTAGTCGAGCCTTGAGGTGACCACATCCCTGACCAACAACTTGATCACAGTCTTGGGAGAAACACTGAGTCGGAGGACCTGGCTAAGCTGCACCGGGATGTCTGTAAAGGGCAGACAGTAAATATTTTCAGCTCTCCGAGTCATGTGGGCTCGATCTCTCTGTTGCAGCTACTCAACCTGCCCATTGTAGATGAAAGTGGCCTCGACTGATAAATGGGAGTGGCCAGATTTAGCCCTCAGGGCTTAGCTTGCTAACCCTTGGTTTAAGCCATTGAATTGTGGGGTGGTTTGTTATTGTGGTAATAGAAAACTGATATTCCATGTTTGTAAACCGAATAAGTAATTTCATTCATGTATTTAAAAAAGTTTTATTTAAGAGAAAAGAGATATAAATATGAAATCAAAATGGTTCAGGAAAAAAATCCCTTAATTATAATAGAATTGGAAATATCTTGCACATTTCCTAGCCCAGATCTGGAATCAATCTTTTTTTCAAGGAGCTCGGTCTCCTTCTTGTGGTAAATGGCACTGAAAGCCCACAATGTGGGCACTAGGGATGCTCGTTATCATTGGGCTGGTCATCGTTCCTAGGCCTTTTCAGTAGATGGAGCTGCAACACCTTTTTTTTTTTTTTTTTTTTTTTTTAAATTAAGAGAAAAATACATCATGAGTCTCTACTGATAAGACCGAAATAAGTTGTCATTCCAAACAGCAAGGAAGCCGTAAAGACTGCTAGGGTTACATCAAAAGGACATCTGAGCCAACCTGACTTGAAGGGGCTCCCACTAGTGGGACAAGTTGAATACAGAAAGATAAATGACTGTAACTGATTGAAACACGCCAAATGTTAAAATCCAGGGTGATACTAAAAGAACAAATTAATCATACGCAGAGGTTGCTAGGGCAACAGATCATTATTCTGAAAACCATAAACAATGGGAAGGAATCAAGCATTTACCTCCCCCCCCACCCTTTTTTGGGACAACTCTATTTTAGCATAACCAAATAGCTGAGGAGGGAATAACTGCAGCTAATCAAGGCAGAAAGAATGACAGAATGCCACCATTTTGCAACTCCTAATGAAACAATATCACCACTGGCTACCAAACCCAGTGGGTGAAAGGCTGATGGGGAAGTACACAATGGATGACGTGGACTTACGACGTCTGAAGCACTGAAAAACCCTCACGTCACAGAGACAGCCGGAGAAGCAGACCTGTGTGTGTCCTGGAGCAATGCCGTTGGAAGTACACAACACCACCCATCAGGTACCCTAAGTGTACCCCCACACACTCACTTAAACCTGAACCGGGTCAAGGCCCTCAATACAACTAACAGAAATGTAGAGAATCCGGGATGGTGCTAAATGACTCCACAGGATGCAATTACCAAATCCGGAATGAGGGAAATTCCACAGTATGAATAACTTATTTCTTCAATTAACAAATGCTAATAAAAGGGAGGGTGGGATTTAGACTGAAAGAGACTTAAGAGACATACCAATCAAATCAATGCATGGTCTTGTTTGGATTTTGATCAAGACCACGTATAAAAACACATTTATGGGACAATCAGAGAAATGTGAACACCATTGGATTTTACATAAAATAAGAGTTACTGTTAATTTTTCAGGTCCAATAATGGTATTGTGGTTGTAGAATGGTTTTAGAAAGGTAGAATTTAATGCTTAGATACACACAGAGGTCTTTATAAATAAAATGGTGTAATATCTAGAATTTAAAATAATCCAGTTAAGGTGGGCATATGCCCATATGTTGGTAATTATTGAAGCTGGATGAGAAGTACATGGGGGTTCATTATCCTTTCTCTTAATTTCCATAAGCATTTTTAAACTTCCATAATAAGTTTAAAGATATCCAATACACCAAAGACATAATCCTAGTTGAATGAAAGAATCTGACCAGGTCTGTGATTATTTTTGTTTTGTAATTTTACCTAAATATCTTTCTTAATTATATTAACTAAGTAGTATGTAATTTTGTTTTATACTAAATGGATTCCAGAGAAAGAGAGGCAATTGTAACGATTCCACCTCAAAACATCCCAGTAAAGGTGGACCTTTCCTAAACTTAAACAGCACCGACAAGCAGGGGTGGGGCTTTCAGGTCCTGTTTGGAATCGTTACAACTAATGACCCTGGGAAGCTCCAACTGTTTTCCAACCTTGATTTGCTTAAAAAGAAAATCTCTGTGGTGGAAGCTCATAATAAGTTACCAGGTAAGAATTTTCAAAGAGTTACAATTTGTTCTCCCAGACTAAACAATAACTCTCTGTCAGCTCAGAGGATCACCTTCAGAAATGAAACAGAAACAGAAATGATTAAATGTGACAGGAAATGGTGTCAGAGAGGTCAGGATGCTGGAGCAAGGAGGAAAACTAAACCAAGTAACATGGAAAGTAAACACCACACCTAGTTTTCATAGGTCTGAGTGGCCACCAGCAGAACCTCAGGAGAACTTTTTCACAAGTGAAAGAATGCAACGTGGAAACATTCAAAGTCAATGTACCTAAACATTTTGACCGCTGTTTAAAATTTAATTGTTGCAAAGCATACCAGTAACTCAGGTATGGACTATATATACAAATGACAAAGCAGGCTTGATAAGTGCCTCATTAAAGCTTCTCAGAGTTAAAACTTTCAGCCAGGCCTTGAATGGGATTAAATTTCTCTTGCAGGAAACACTTCCTGAATAAGTACAGTATTAGTAACTGGTCCTGTGAACCACAAGGGGTGTTCCTGCTTTGTGTCCACTCTACACTGGGCTCACACGTGTTCTGAGACAGTCTTTATTCCTCAAAAGGCTGAATTTCCAAAGGAAGATTATTTTAAGCTCTAGGCATTTTTGTTCCCCCAAATCAATCTCTCTGCGTGTCTGTTCAGGATCACTTGGTATTGTGACTTCCACCCGATCTTTATGCACACAGGTTTCTATCTAGCTCTCTGCCTGTGGAAACTAGAAGGAGAGTACAAATGACAACTGAAACAAGATTTTAAGATCTCCAATCAGCTGACTTATGGCTGAGGCAGGGTCACCGCGATCTCTCTCCAGGGCAGGGGCGCTGCGAGGCAGGCGGGGCCGGAGGAGTGGCCGCAGCTGCGGGACTGACGGTCCGGACGCCCCACCGGCTCAGGTGGACCCTCGGGGGGGCTGCGAACCCCGTCACTGAGGCACCACACCCGGAAGGCCGGCTCCGTACCTTCAGGAACGCTTCCTTCTGCTCAAGGTGCTTGCTGATCATCGGGGTGACGTGGTCCGTCTCGGAGTTGGGGCCCAGCTTGTCGGCCCCCCCACACCAGTCCTCCTCTCTCTTGTACTCCTGCTCCAGGCTCTCGAGGACACTGCAGACCTGCGGCAGGAGAGAATCTGGGCTCAGAGGGACCACTCGGCACCCATGGGATGACGAGTGCCGGCCCGAGGGCCGGGACCGCCACCTGGCGTGCGGCCATGCAGGCTTTCAGAACAAGGCCAAGATACAAGGTGAATTTCCCGCCTCTCTCTGCCCTGTGTCAGGCCATCCATTTAAATGAGAGGAAAAGGGACATCTCCTCAGATCCTTTCCGACCTGCTCTCTTTGATATGTAAGGGAAGCAGGAATAATCTTAATCCCATAATGCCGCTTTTCTCTGCTCGACTGGCCCAGGACTGACCGGCGAGGTAAGGACTGAGCCGTGCCGTGCAGTCAGGCTCAGCAGGCGGCAGCGGCGGGGAGCCCTACCTGCTCCGAGGTCTTGTAGAAGGCCACGGACGCGTTCACCAGCTTCAGCCGGTCCTCCATCTTGAGCATGAGCTGCTGCCAGTGCGAGGCCACCTTCTCGGCACAGTCCCGGATCATGTCCATGTCGTAGTGGTTGGCCTGCAGCATGGCTTCTGCCTTCTGCTGCACCTGCAGTGCGCTCTGGTGGGTCTTCTAAGGGGGGGAGAGAGCGGAAAGCTCTTCAGTGGGGGTGTCGCGCACTCACGGGGAAGGAGCGGGAAGGCCGCAGCTCTTCCGTCTGCTCGCTTTTACGGGAACGACTTCAGTTAACACTCACTAGGACGCTTCGAAAACCACAGCTGACAGGTTAGTTAAAAAAAAGCTTTTACGCCTACCAACAACTATTTATATTTATCCAGGGAATGATGAAATGCCTTAGGACTTTCCAGAATGGGGTCTTGGTTGTGGACTTTCCAGCTTTTGAGAGATAGCAGGAAAAACCCTTAGCAGCCGATATTCTAAAAAAGCTGTTGAAATGTTCCAAGTTTATTATTCCTGTTGATTCTTCTTGTAATAGCAGCCAGGGGCTAATGAACAAGTGGAGAAAAAGGTGGCCTAAGTGAATGCTCTTTATTTCACTTTTACCTTAAACTCTGGACTCGAGTAAAAGGTTTTCGAAAACTACCGATTCAAAAAAAGAGAAAGAGAGAAACACAGTTAAAAGCTAAAAATGAACCAACTGTGTTCTCTGGAGGTCCATGCCAGACAATGCATCTATGAAAACAAACTGGCAAATCCGGTAACAACTCCTGCTCTCGCATCCTCACTAGAAGCTTCTGTGAGGGGCTGAGGTCAGGTTCCTCGGGGAAACCAGAGGGCCCGGCAGGGCAGCCGTCAGGGGGAAGCACATGGGTCTCTGTGGACACAGAGTTTTCTCTTTTTTTAAACAATGGCAAAATTTTGCATTTCACCTGAAGTGGTACTAATGGCCCCATAAAACACTGTACCCAGCGTAATCCTGTCCGTTACCCAGACGGTGAGGCACACCAGTGATTTAATTACTAGAAGGCACTTGGCACAGGGTACGATTTTCACAAGATTCACCCAGAGTCTGGGCTTCAGGGAGAAGTGTTAGTGTCTGTCCACTGGCGCTGAATAGTTGAGAGTAAATTAATCTAGGGAAGACATTAATGGTAATTTCTTTGGTTTTCATCTCTGGCTGAGAATATGTATATAACTAGAGCAGGAAACAAGTTTTCTATCATCAAATGCTCTCTTTCCCTTGTCTGTGCCTTGAGACCACCTGTCACAATCATTAACTCCCCCAACCCTCCAAAAATACTCTAAAATGAATTAATCCATATGCTGTGAGAGTGACTGGCCGAGCCATTTTGCTCAAGTCCCGGCACAGCACTGACCCCGTCGAGGCACAAAACCCTCTGGTGAGGGACGCTGCTTTTCCCCAGGGTCACAGGAGCTCTGTGCACAGCACTGTTTATGGGGGAAAGGGAACTGGTGATTGGCACCCGGTCCTGAAGATCCACCCCGAGTGCCCTGATTTTTCAAGACCGGTTACACAGCAGCAACTGTGTCTATAACATCAGCAAAACGTGAAAAACCTCAGCTGAGACCCCAGCTCGGGCTCCCTGGTGCCGAGATGTTCCCGACAGGTGAGGTGCATCCTGCCAGGGCCCTGACAGCAAGGGGACAGCAAGAGCCACCCCCGGCCTCTGGGACCCTTGCGGTGAGGTCGCCCTGGTGGGCATGGACAGCCTCCCATCACTGCAGTTGCCAGACTGCTTCCCCCTCTTGTAACGAACTGCAGGCTCGTAAGCGCAGCCGTTTGGGGTTCCACCGAACCCCCTTCGGCTCCCAGGGTCAGTGCCGCGTGAGGGGACTTAACAGGCTGGTCCTGAGGTTGGAGAGGCCGGGTTCCGAGGCCAGGCCGGGCGTCCGCACCTCGATGGCGTGCTGGAACTGTTCGTGCTCCCTCTGCAGCTGCTCCGCCTCCTGCAACGAGCTGGCCGTGATGAGCCCGGCGTTCAGCATTGACTCTCCGTTCCGGATCCAGCCCAGCACCTGAAACACGACACAGGGAACTCCATGCAGCAGCCCCTCTGGGGCATCCAGGCCATGGACCAGCAGTGACGCAGTCCGAGTGCGCGGCGGTCGAGCTGCTCACTTAGCTACGAAGCAGGGGTTTCCTCGTGATCCTACTGGCAACAGCCTGCTACCCTTCCCTGGTATCTGATCGTTAAGTGCTGCATTTTAAAATTAATTCTGTCATGTTTAGTTTCAAGTGGGAGCTGGAAGAGGTGGAGAGTCCGGAGGATCGATCATTCATCCACAGGTCAAAACAGACTGAGGATCACATACGAGAAAACCTACAATTGCAAAGAATTCCCTGACACTCAAAAATATATATCTTTCACTCCTTTTAGGCCTCATGGACATGCAGAATTAGCAAAGTGCTTGATAAGGGAACTGTTTTGATGTCACTAATGTATTTTCCACTTTAGAGTCAGTGTTAAGACAGCACACTGACCCAAGGATGAATTTAGCTGTTGGCTAATGCTCAGGGCCACACCACCAGATTCTTAGCATCACAGAATGAGAAGTCAGTTCTGACCATGGAAGCCACAGGGATGTGGAAGGTCATTCTGGGTAATCATTTGTGACAGAAACTGCTGGTTACTTAACCAGTACCTAGTTTCTTCATGTCCTTTACTCAGAAAATCCCAACTTGGGAAAGAGCTTAAAATAAAGCCAGTTCTCAGCTCCTATGACAGCTTGGTTGCAAATATGACACAATTCTAGTCACTGAGATCAAAGCAGGGGCTTCTGGGCCATTTGGGGAACACATTTCTTTTCTGATCCAGGTGCTGCCTCTTTCTTGATATGCTTTTCCCTTCCTGATACCTGGAACGTGGAGGTGATAGTTGGGGCTACAGTAGCCATTTGGCAACCATTAAGCCCCTCCAATCAAACAAACAGATGCCTTTCTACACAACTACAAGAATCCCAGAAAGCCATACTTCCATGGTCTCCCTGCTCACGTGATAAAATGTCACAGACATGCTAAATATACATATGCACGGAATCCCACTGGCACTGAACCAAAAGCAATCTCTTCCAAATGTCCCATTTTTATTTTGCCATGCTATCTGGGAGATGGGAGTATCGTATCCTGAGAACACAAGAAGACCCAAGCCATACACAGCCTGTGATCCCGGCCAGACTGATAACAGTCTATTTGGGGAAAAAAAATAAATCATATAGTTATTCAGCCCGGGAAGCAACGTGGTCAGGGTTTCAGGCAAGAGACGACCAATAACAAAACAAGCTAAGTGGAGGTGACTCTCAAGTGACCAGTTGCTGGGTGACGAAGGCTTCTCCACTCCAGAGTAAACACAGAGCTGCCCAGGCACTGGCTCAATTTTACACACTAGCTGTGGTGTGTCGGGGGTGTGTTGTATTCTACACCAGGACAGCTGTGTTCTGATCAGGGACAATCTGCCCCAAGGCTTACACATCCGAGCTACCAGGAGAGCACTCATCGAGCGCTCGCTTGTCGGCTGGGTCCCCTTCACTCCGCACATTCGTTTACCTGCTTCACTTCGGCCTGCAGGTGGCGGAGCTGCACACACTGCTCCAGGTGCTTCCGATGTTGCTCGGCTGCTAAATCCAGCTCCTGCTGCTTCTCGTGGAGAAACTCCAGCAAGTCCTGGACCCGGGTGGCCATGTCTACGTCTCTGTCGCAAAGCAGCTCCACGCCTGCGGACATTGAAGGGAGGCCCGGAATTCAAACAGCACTTCAACCGGTTCTTTTCTTTTTGTTTTTTTTAAAATATCTTTATTGGAGTATAATTGCTTTACAGTGGTGTGTTAGTTTGTTTCTGCTTTACAACAAAGTGAATCAGCTATATATATACATATATCCCCATATCCCCTCCCTCTTGCGTCTCCCTCCCCCCCCCCCTATCCCACCCCTCTAGGTGGTCACAAAGCACCAAGCTGATCTCCCTGTGCTATGCAGCTGCTTCCCACTAGCTAGCTATTTTACGTTTGGTAGTGTATATATGTCCATGCCACTCTCTCACTTCGTCCCAGCTTCGTCCCACCATCCGTGTCAAGTCCATTCTCTACATCCGCATCTTTATTCTTGTCCTGCCCCTAGGTTCAACAGAACCATTGTTCTTTTGAAGATTCCACATATATGTGTTAGCACACTGTATTTGTCTTTCTCTTTCTGACTTACTTCACTCTGTATGACAGACTCTAGGTCCATCCACCTCACTACAAATAACTCAGTTTCATTTCTTTTTATGGCTGAGTAATATTCCATTGTATATATGTGCCACATCTTCTTTATCCATTCA